TATATTAACAGACTACTGAGTTGTAGCAGATAAGGTTTTAATGGGTCATAATACTTGTTTTAATATGTGAAGAAAAATTTTAAAAGTCCATTATGACAAGAATTTAATTACATTGTGCTGTGGTGAGATCCATTGTAACAAGGTTTGACTGTATAGTTTTAAATAAACAATATGTGATTTCTGTGACATTCTGTACTATGCAGAAAATCATTGTCCCTGCTACAATTGCATACAATATACATATAATATTTGATATTGTTCAGAGTTAATAACTTTAATTTTAATTATGGGAAACATTTATTTAACCTTGGTTTAAAAATTTATCAATTTTCACACAGAGTTGGCAATGGACAACCAACATCCAATTTTCATTGGGCCAATGGACTATTGTACATATATGTCCAAGTTGTCCATTCAGGAGTAATTTGCGCAGTTTTGTTGGCAATGGATCATTCATGTAGATCATTATCTTTTTTTTCTATAAATTCACATCTATAACCAAAGCATCATTTGACACTGTTGTATGTGAAAATGAAATTATGTGAATTTGAAATTCATATGTGAAATTCAAATTAGCCAATCAGAATTCATATCCAAACACCCTACCCCAAATTTTGATTTATAAATTCCGATTCACATAGTTTCAATTTCACATACAACAACACCATACATAATGGTTTTGAATGGCAAACAAGTCAAATGAATTTACAATTTGCTATCCATGTAAAAATATGAGTGCTCAATTGTTAATAAGTTTACTAATACAAAAATAATAAAATTTTTATTTTAATATTTTTCATCAAAAAATTGTGGCGTGAAAAAAAAAGATAAATTCATTTAAAAAATGTCCATTAGTCGTGACAACCAAAAAAGTGATAATTAATTTCCAAATACGATAATTTGATTGATAAATTTTAACGCCAAGACTTTTCACTATTTTTATTAATCCCTTAATTTTTTTCTAGAGGAGGAATCTATATGTCAAATTTGGCGGAGATAAAATTAAGGTTTGTGGCTAATTTTTTTATTATATATATAATAAAAATTTCGATGTCGATCACCGAAAAAATTTCGAACCGTTCGAGGAAAATATTAAAAAACATTATCTTCGGTCGATCCCGTTATTATTATTATTATTCTCATCGAGGTTGTAATACCGAGCACACGTTTACATTTACCTTATTTACCTTTCTTTATTCTGAGTTGAAATGGGCCACAATTCACAGGGAGGATTTTCACAAAAATCGGTTGGCGCGGAAAAAAAACTATTTATAGAAATAGTATGGAATTTTCTTAGGAATTAAATTTGTATATATATTAGTGTAAAATTTTTTTTTGGAAACCATTTTTTTATAAAAATCAAAAATTTATCTTTAATAGTTTAAATTCAAAATGTTAAACATTTCTAAACCTATGGAAGCAAGGACAGGACGAGATAAACAAGTATATAAAAAAGGCAGTATACGTCAGGTTTGTTTGAGTAAAATTTTTTTTAAAAAAAGTAAAACGTTGAATAAATTATGCACATATACATTTGTTTTATAGGTTGCTGGTTGTGTACCAATTAACAAAAATACAAGAAAAATCTTATTAATAACAAGAAGAAAGAAAGAAGGCGGTTGGGTACTGGTGAGCAATTATTTATTAATAATTTATATTTTCAACATATTTTCAACAAGTAATAATTATGCACTTTTTTAAAAAAAGCCTAAAGGTGGTTGGGAAAATGATGAAACAGAGCAAGAAGCTGCTGCTAGAGAAACATACGAAGAAGGTATATCATATATAATAACTACAACCATTGATTCTAGATAGTGATTTAATGAATTGATTTAAAAATTTT